TTTATCCAAATCATAATGGGTTTTTGCCTGGGTTACAACACATCCACCACCTTAATGTCCGGCATCAGAGGACAAGCAGGGAGACAGGCAGGCAGGCAATGAGGCAGGGTCCAGTAAGTCATTGCAGCCAGTAGGTGCATCTCTGATGTGATGTGCTCTGATGGGACGAGGGACTTTAATTGAATGCTGAGCAGAAGCTAGAGGGTGACCTGATGAGGCTGTGGCTGCAGAGGAACAAAAGAGCGCTGGCAAGATTTTGACGTAAATTAGTACTTATTAGTCTGCTCTGTTTTCAACATATTAAAACTGGAGTATGCAGAAAAAAGAAAATGGAATTAACTGCTTCAGCGGGAAGATGAGGAAGCGGAAGAAAAGGAGGGGGGAGATTACAGTCTGGAGTTTACGGATGACATGACACAGTGATAAAAGGGCATAAATGCCAGTCAGCCCTGTTCATGGTTTACATTGACACCTACAGAATCACATGGGCAGGGGTTGGACGATATTACAATGAGCTCAATTATAAAAAAGAAGGTACCACAGCAACATGGTAAACCACAAAAAAACTCAAAATATGCATAAAGCCGATGTTGGTTTAGTCCGCTTAGAACATTAAAATCCAACTTATGAGATGATTTATTCACAGTTCCATGTGAAAACTTGCCGTGATGGATTAAGTGAGCATCTATTCTCTCCTACTGACCTCACATCTTGCAGCCGCATGGGACTTTTGGGAAGAGCCGGAATATTTCAGTCATGTGAATAGTCATCTCTCTACTAAGCTGCTTGTTTCACGTTCCACCAACCGTTGTTCACTATGATGATGCTTTCTGTTACAGTATTTATAAAACCTCACTTCATTTACTAAGACCACAAACTCTTATACATCATTGTGTGGTATTATAACTTTTTTTGCCTGATACTCATTTAAATATTTAATTATTACTTATTAAAATGGATGATAATATTGAACTAAAAATGCTTTGTTATTATCATTATTATTATTGGTGTTAAATGACAAATACCAGATAATTATATTATATTTAGAGGGTGGTGGCATTTGCTATGAAAGACGCCCTTGTGGCAGCAGAGAACGTTCAGCAAACTGATTGAATAAATGTATTATTTAATAATAAATTTAGTTAATAAATAAAGTTAAGACTACTTTAAGATACTCCTTTACTAGATGGAGTATCTCAAGGTAGTGGTTTTCTGTATGACATTATCAGTCCGTCAAATGTCAAACAGATGGCCTTATATTTGACTCTACAGTACTTTGGTATACAGAGTTCATTGTCAACTGAGTGACTGTAAGGTACCCAGGTCCTGTAGCTGCAAAACAAGCCCAGATCATCACCCATCCACCACCATGCTGGCAGCATGTTTGAGGTGTTTGTGTTGATATATTGTGTTTAGTTTTTACAAAATGTAGCACGGAGCATTATAGCCAAACATCTCCATGTTGGTGTTATCTGTTCAATGGACATTGTTCCAGAAATCTTGTGGTTTCTTCAGATGTAACTTCGTAAACATAATCTTCCATGTTCTTTCTCCTGGCAACCACTGCAAGCAAGACTGGTCTGTGTTTTTCTAACTGTCATGAACTTTAACATGCTAACTGAGCCTGTAGAGTCTGAGATGTTACCCTTGGGTTTTTTGCAGTTTTTGAGCGCAGTCTGACCTTGGGGTGGGGATTTGCTAGGATGTCCACTCCTGGAAAGCTTGTGGTATTGAATGCTCCAGACCAGCAAACTGCCAAAACGTCTCTTTTGATGGAGATGTTCACACATGCTGATGATCATTTGATCAAGTGCAATTACCAGTAACCATATGGATGCACATAGTTTTTCACAGAGCTATTAAGTCCTGTGAAAACTTAATTTTTTACAACGTTGTGTAAAGATTATTCTGTCTTGAATACCATGCAAAGCTTTGCTGTCAATTAATAGAATTTTTCACAAATTCTTGACAAATTTACCAATGGAACTGCTCATACAATATATATGCATCAATATATGGTATTAAATATGTTTAAGTGTTCATAAAACTATTTTTTCATATATATTTCTTAAATATTTTCTTATTTATTTAAAAACTGTATCAGAGAGGTGAAAACTCTAAAACAATCAAAATTAAATATTTATATAGATGTAAATCTTAAGTAAATATATTATTGCATCACAAAATTTTCTGATTCTCAAAAACTGTTTATTTTTATTTACAAGTCATTACTGTCAACACCAAGCTCAAATATAAAAGAAACAAAAATCCCTGTAAAGTGCTGAGGTGATACAACAATGTCAGGTATGTTTTAAAGCTATCAATTATGTCCCCAAAGAAAACCAATAAACACTTCTAGATAATTTACTAACGCATCTGAAAAGTCACCTAGAGGCCAGTTTCCTGTCACTCACAATGATTAAGCTGAATTTTAGGATAAACTAAAGTAACTTAAAACAATATTGTCCAAATTAAACAAGACAGTGAGATTAAAATTTGCTGATTCTGCAGGGACTTTCAGCTCAAGCTGTAAAAGAAGGAATAGGGAACAAGGTCCATGGCGGTGGTCAGCAAACTGTAGTGGAAACATTCTTCCCTGCTGAAAACAAACCCATTTATTATCACGGATGATGAAGGAACCTGTGGAGAGTTGGTGACAAATTCATACAGGATATTAGACAAGGACTTTCAATACAGTAAATCGTAGTACTTCCCCAGCAGCTGTCACCCCGGCAAGCCTCTCTATGCCTATTTATATCTGGAATTACTTAAACGAATGTCCTCTTAGGTCATCTACTAATCCTGCCCAATATATAAATAATAAAAATAATAATAAACACACACAGACTCAAGTTAAATATTAGTTTATTTAGCTTTGATAACTTTATTAAATAGTACATTTATTAATAAATGCATTAAGTATTGGCAAAGTCTGCACTGCCTGTTGAGCAATTTAATATTTACAATATGTCAACAGGAAATAATAAAATAGTTCACATTATGGAGTGGAAGACTTTATTTGCATAATTAATCTTTAGCACTTCAGAAGATTCTTTGAGCTTATTTCAAAAAGCTGTAAAGGGTTTAGAAGGAGGTTAAGCCTGAGAGAAATTAAAGAGGGGTTTCAAGAAATATTGTATGGCAGATGTGGATTTAAGCAAACTGGTTTCACCTCTTTGAGATTTTAACATTGAAATGAGGAGCCATGAAATTTTTTTAAGCCCTTTACAAGGCTGCGCCATCACTTCACATTCTAAACTCGAATAATTGCAAAAATAGCTTCAAATAAATATATAAATATCTTTCCAGTTCCATGATCACTGATTATGCTGCTCATGCTTCACCCAGTCTTGCCATCCTCCAGAGTAATACTGAACACTGAAACAAGACACAAAAGAAAGAAAAAAGTGAACATTTGCTTTGACGAAATCACACTTTTCATAATTTAAGACTTTTAAACAAAATCATGCATTTGTATGTGACTTTACCATCACCAGACAATCACAGTGTTTTAATACTTGACACATAGACATAGAAAATGTGATGTGGGACATGTGGTATCCTTCCGAGGAGGAACAGCATTGTGTAACTACAAGGCAATAACCTCAACTATTGTAAATGCTGTCTCATGGTGGTAACTATAAAAGTCTAAGTTTAACCACAATACTGATAACTTTTCTCGTGACTGAAAATGGCCAAGTCTAGTAAGAAACATAATGACGAGGTGGAAACCAGTGACGGTGACAGACATAAGCCAAGGACACATATCTCACTCTTTGTATCCCAGTGTGATGGCCGTGTTCAGCGCAGTCTTGCTCCTGATTCCCGCCAAACAAGTAAACACAACGTTATCTGTCTGGTGAGGTAATTCACCACCATACTTTTCTTTGAAGTCTTCTGGACCCAGCTGGAGTGCAGTGTTCACTTGCGCCACTGTAAAGTCAAAAACACAAAGGTTAAGGAAGTATGATGGGTTTGGTGCTCTGGAGAACAGTTGGTTGGAAGCATTGTAGTAATATTTTAGAATAATGCCCTCCTTCGTACCATATAATATGAAGTGGCTCATATTGCTTGCGTTTTACTCCATTTAGAATTGTATGTCAAATTGAGCACATTTCAAACCTAATTAAACTTGCCATTATGAAGCCACGGGGACAAAGCACACCTTCAAATGTTTGTTTTATGAACAATATAAAAACTGTGTATGAGTTTGCTTCATTTTGGACATTTACGATTTGTTATTTACCCCCAACCCACACAAACTGCAGTATACTACACTAGTATACAAGTCTACAGCCCTGGCAGCCCAGCCGGACAACAATGTTGCAGGTAGAGAGAGCAGTACTCACGGGGGACGTTAATGGAGCCGGGGATGAAGCCGTATTCTCGGAGCTCCCAGGGCTCTCGCACATCTATAACTACCGCTTTCCGCCCAACCAGGAGCTCCTTCAGCTGCTCATAACTCACGACTGTGCTCGCTGGCGTTGAACTGAATGTGCGGAACAGCAACTCTGCGTTTAAAAACAAGACAGACAATATACTTAATGCAGTATATGAGCTCCTTCAAAACATGACAGTGAGTCACTCATGTTAAACCTCACTTTTGTAACCGGGGCGAGTGCTGACACTGCTGGACACAGAGCCTTGTCCTCTCGGGACGCAAGCTTCAAACTGGACGGTATTATTCCATAAAAGCCGCGGGACAACACCGGCAAGTCTCCAACAACTTCTCAAGGCCATATGTGATTATCAAAGCCAGATACTGCACTCTAAATTATCACTGCTCTTCAACACAAACCCTCACTTAAGCGTATCTGCGTGGGACAACTAAAAAAAGTCACAATGCCGACAATTATCTGCGCTTGCGCAGACGTACGGATATCCTAATGGGCCAAAATTCTTTCCCCACAAATGCCTTAGTGATAGTTTCAAACAAGTAATAACTAACTATTTATCAACACAAATTAGCATCATGTCCCCTAATTAGATCAAACAAGTGCATCAAGTAAAAACAAAAAACATTATTTATGTTGCATTCGCCGCCATGGGAAACTGGGAAACGCATAAAGATGGGAAACAAGCTTTTATTTACCTCTAGTAAAAAAGAGATTTTCCCACTCAACTTGAATGCAGCATTGGGCCAACCTGAGCTGCCGTAGTGCGTCACACATAACCAGTGCTGCCTGTAAATGCTAACGAAAGCTTGACACATGTTTTAAAAGTCAAGGGTGGAAACAAAAAGATATTGAGATAACTGTTGACGGTATTGCGCGTTTTTTCTTTGAATAGCCATAATGTCTGCGTGTAATTTTGGATAAAACACACCAGTTCAGTTTTTATCCTACCAAGCTAATGTAGCTGGCCTTTTTTTGCAACCCAGGAAGAGCTGACATCTCAGTGTTGGCTTCATATTAGCTGACAAAGTCAACATAGGAGCCTAACTTTAAGAGGTGAGTTAATACATATTCCATTTTCGCTAAATCTAGTATGAAAAAGATAAACTAATTTTTAAAATTTCCGTAATAAATGGGTTAGGCGCCTCTTATTCTCACCCAAACCGGGCTGCCGGGGTTGTTAAGGCCTCTTAATCATGGTGTTGTCCATTAATAGAGTTATCTGTCGTAAAAACTCTGATTTTCTCCTACTGCCTTTATTTAGCAGTGGCATATCATGTAGCCGTAGGTATTGTGACCGTTCGCTTCCAGATTTCTTGCAGTTTAGAAAACGTTTAGGTCAGTAGCATGTTAGGCGAAGGGTGTAAAAATTATTTCAAAAGGAGTCCACCAGGAAAATCAGCTTAAACCTACAAGCAGTGGAAAGTTTTTGATTGGTTAAATCAGTCACCTGATTTAATCGCCCCGAACACACCAGCTTGAGAGTAGCGTCAAACACACCAACTTATAACAGCCAAACCACATATTGCATTTACCGTTTAATTATTTAAATAATCTTCAGCAGAGGCTATTCTGGTATGGCAAAAAAAAAAAAATAATAATTTTTGTTGTTGTTGTTTTTAGTGCTGTTGTCTTGAAAGTGGATTTCGTTGAGTCGGAGCCCAGCAAGGAGGAGTTGGCTTGGGCTTTTGAATGAAGGAGAGAAAAAACAACTGCTTTAATGAAAAGTAGTTTACTGAATATATATAAAATATGAGAAAGCAAGAGTGTAATTGTGCAAACATAATTAGTTATTCTATCCTAATATTTTTTTTTTCACTATTGTTGGAAGCAAAGTAGTGCTTGACGATTCAATGTTTATTTGTTTATTTATAAGGAACCCCATTAGCTTCCACAACAGTGGTTGCTAGTCTTCCTGGGGCCCAAGCCATCAAATATCTCCAAATAAAATGTTACAACAATTAGATCTACAGTAAAGTTTTACAATACTGAAATGTAAACATGTGAATATTAAAAATTATATAAAAGCAGAAAACCAAAACAAAACACTCAAACAAAATACACAATTTCCATTACAAGTGATATTACCCTCTACAATTTTTACAAATACATTAAAAACTGCCTAAATAGGCTTTTAGGTGATATGTATGCATAGCTATTTGAATGTAAACACATGCTGTCATAAAGTTTTGATTTGGCACATTTCTGTAGGACTGTGCTGTAGTACAATGACAACACAATAAATGTGTGTGAGTGTGTGCATTTAACAATTCCTGATATAAACTGTAGGGGTTTTTTTTTTTTTGCTATTTTGAAAGTACCTCATTCTGTTGTGAAGCAAATAATAATAGCAGTTGTGTAGTACCTGGATAAACAAAATTATGTGTGGGTGTCCTAAATGTGTAAAACTAAACCAGTGTTGTCCCTTCTTGCTTTCAGAGCACCAGATGCGGCTGAAGGACCCCTTCTCCTTGAAAGCCGCCGACATGACTAAGCGGACTAATAAACCAAGAAAACCTCGAGATGAGGAATCATCAGATGAAGTCAGCGGTAAGTCACCGTAACAGTACATGCCACCGGACTGTTACGGTTAAGACTATGAATTTTGACTTGGTAGAGTCCTATAGACTATTCTTGAGTATTTTTTGTCAATGTTGAAAAGTCTGTGAGGTTTCATTCATTATTCTTATGGGATCAGTGCAATTCACCTTCAATTAAAAGGATCCTTGCTTACAAGACACCTTGTCTGTTAACAGGACTGACTTGCCAGCATGTGAGTAGAGCAGTGGACCTGAACTCAGTAAAGAAATCAGTCCTCTCGAGTGTGTGGTCGGTATGCTCAGAGTGCCTAAAGGAAAGGACAATGATTGATGGCGAGCCAGCAGCCTCTCAGGACATTCTGGTGTGTCTAAAGTGTGGTTTTCAGGTAAGTTTTTTTTTTTTTTTTTTTTTTTAAATGATAAATAAAGCAAAATGTGATGCAGCAGAGTTTAAACTAAATTGAAATAAACAACAGAGTAAGAACGTCATTATCATATTCAAGAGTCTTTAATTCTTATTTGTGTATGAACTTGACTGCTTCTTTACTTTCATGTGTACACTCACTGGACACTTTATTAAATGTGCCTTAATAGTGCCGGGTTGGACTGCATTTTGCCTCTAGAACTGCCATAATTCTCCACAGTATAGGTTCAACAAGGTGCTGGAAACATTACTTGGAAACTTTAGTCGTTGTTGATTTGATAGTATCATACAGTTGCTGCTTGCATGTCCAAAATGCTAATTTTACATTCTGCCCTGCTCTGTTGCATCGAGATCTGGTAACTGTGGAGGCCATTTGAATACAATGAACTCATTGTCATGCTCAACAAACCAATTTTTTAAAAATTATTTATTTACTTTTATGTTGTTGTTCAATTTTGGTGAGCCCGTGTAAATTGTGGCTTCATTTTTCTGCAGACACAGTCTTCTGCTGCTGTAACGCAGCTGCTTCTAGGTTTGATGTGTTCTATGTTCAGAGATGCTCTTCTGCATTCCTCTGTTGTAACAAGTGGTTATTTGAGTTACTGTTGCCTTGGCTTTGTGGGGGAAATCATAGATCAGCAGTTTCTAAAATATTCAGCCCTTCTACCACCAACAGCCAAGCTATGCCCAAAGTCACTTATATCATCATTCTGATGCTCAGTTATTGCCCCTCCCCTTGAGGTTGAAGGCATTTTTGAGACTTAAAATGTGGTTTTAGTTTCAGGGTTACAATTAGGTCATGGTTAGGTTTGGGCTTGGGGTTAGGCATTCAGGTTTGTTTGTTAGGGTACGTGGCTAGTGAAGAAAATGTCCATAATGAAGTGGTTAGGCCTGTTGGAACTTTCAAGAAAAGAGGAAGTCTAAACATGACCCTGAATAAAGATTTTCACCCTACTGTGCTCTTGAAGATTTGTTGCACCTTAAATGTTGTGAGCCCAGAGTGTATTTTATGGTTGCCAACAAAGATTTCTGTTTTTACAGGGCTGTAACCAGTCAGGGATCCAGCATGTTGTGAAGCATCAACAGGCTTTCCACCCAGAGTCACACTGCATCACCATCAGTTTGAGCACATGGAAGGCCTGGTGAGAAACCCAGGAAGTTAATTGTGAACTGTCATGAAAAGAAGCAAAGGCTGCACACAATGGTGCCCTGTTTGTCACCTTGCGATGGCATGTGTCAGAATGCTGCCAGCATGTGAGCTCAAATAGAAAACAACAGGCACCTGCAGTCTTTTTGATCCTGGCTACCACAATTCTAAGACCAGTTTGTTTATTTGTAAATTATTTTACATCATTTTAGGCTCATAAATAATAAAATAAAATTTGTTTTCCACCATTATAATTAGGAATGGGAATCGAGAACCAGCTCCCAGTAGTCCAATCCATTGGAACCATTAGTCTGCCTGCTTATCGATCCTGCTTATCAGATCTTGAGCTCTTGCTGCAATCAGCTGATTTCAGTTTGTGTGTCAGGGGAGGAAAAAAGTGTCACAGTTTACAGCATGGATATGGACATTACTTTTATTTTTATTGCATAAAAGGATGAGAGCACGATAATGAAGTGGAGACTGCTCCAAGACAGAAACAACTGCATTATATTGTTAACACAACTTTGGCTCTTTACAAGCACTTTCACCGACACTGTGCTAAGCTAGATGGGATGTTAAAGCTGAGTAAATGCTGACACCAGAACAGCACCGTGATAAAGTAAGCAGTTATTCGCGGTGAAGCCGCTGCTTAAATTCAACAGGTAACAGAGCCTGAGCGGTCTGGCTGCAGCCTCCGTGTCTACCTGTTCATGTTTCTACAGTAAAATCACTGTGACGATCAGTTTAAAGTCTCTTTTCTGGTTTTCATCTTTGATTTGTGTTCATACATCAATACTAAGAGAAAGATCACGTGTGTTCTTATTAGGATAGGGATTTGTGCTGGTGTGTGGGGCTGTAGCCTGTAGGTTTATGTAGTTAAATGGTAATTATGAGACGTTGCGTTTCAGATCATTTTACAGAGTAACATGAAAGTAACGTAATGAGTAGTTTTTAGTAGAAGTAATTAAGTAGAAGAACACTTTAAGAAAGGTGTTCTGTGTAATATATGTAATATATTTTTGAGTAATGACCCCAACACTGATTCATTTTTATCAATTCCCATCCCTAATCATGATTTCTAAACTGCTTTCCACTCTAGCCAAGCAATTCGGATGTTAAATACTGTCTTATTAGTTTCTAAAGTAAAATGAACCCGGTCTTATTAACCTCTCTCTTTGTGACAGGTGTTTCGAATGCAGTGAAGAGCTCTCGACTCATTGCAACAAGAAGGCCTTGGCTCAGAGCCTGGACTTTTTACAAAAGCACTCTGTCAAGGCAACATCAGGTAAGGTGTTTTCTGGCCATCCACTGTTGTCAAATTAAGCCTCAGTTATACAAAACGTACATGCTTACTGCAGTTTCAGCAGGGCCAAATGACAGTGTAGCTCAAGATTTATCATTCCTTTAAACTGGTGATCCTTTCTTTAGTTGAATACATCTCATGTTACATAATTTGCTTAATATTCTGGTCAGTCTAGGTTTTGTGTCTATGAGTAGAAGGCAAAAGCACAATAACAGTATATGAGCCAGTTAGCGGCTGCGTTGTGGCCAGATCCACAAATAAGACGGGCTCCTATCAGAAAAGTTATTCTTCTAAGTGAAGGGCTGACATTCCAGCAGTCGGCTGCAGTACACCTGCTCCCCCTGGTGGCAATGGTCATGTGAAGTTTGACCTACTGTTCTTCATGCAGAGACACCCCACACTATTCAAATGGGTGAAATGGTTGTCTGATTTTTTTGTTTTGTTTTGTTTTGCTTTTCTATGCTGCTAAGTGCTTGAAGAATATTCTTTCTACCCTTCTGTCGGTCTAAAATTGAATTAGAGCAGCAAACTTGTCATTAAAAGCAATAAAACTTACTAGAAATACTAAGAACTAGATGTAGAATAGAGTTGGATTTTAGTTGCAGCATTTTCAGCATTACTTACTACCTTCAGACTTGTCCTTTTCCCTCACTTAGACCACCTGAGCCCCCCACCCCACACTGAGTCAGTCATCCATATAGACATCAACTCCCATTCTCAATACTTACATGTACCTACACCTTCAGCTCAGTGTGCATCTCTTGCTTTGTGCTGGCGTGCTGAAAGACCTCCTAGCAGACTGTAGTTGATCAGGGTGGTGGGCATCATCACTTTCAGTCTCTCAGGCCGTCTCTGCATCGCCCGCTGCATGCTGCCCAGTTGCCAGTGGCCAGAGGCCAGCCACTGAGGCCCAGGCAAGCTGGTCCCCAATCTAAGCCATGGCTGTGGAAGTTGCAAGATTGATTCTGCAGCTATCTCTCCCCTCACTCCCTCCCTTGCCCCCACCTTGCATATTGCATGACTGCACATATTTGTGGAATTAAGCGCTTGAGCGCTGCTTCCCCGGCTGGGTTCCCTGAAGAACAAGCGCAGCTGCGCAGGGTTCAGCCCTGTGATCTGTCGTTCTTTGTCTTTCCATCGCTATCCGTTTCTGTCCCTAGCTTCCTCTGTTAAGTTGCTGTATGTCTCACCACCTCTGGGCCTGTGTGCTGCACTAGTGGGAGCCAGGGTCCTCAACAAGTCTGAGCAACTGGATCCTAACAGCTGGAGCGCGTTAACTCTCAGTGGACATGCACACACATTCACAGATACACATAACGCCGAATGTTAAAAATAACTTTCAAGTCAAGCAGATACCCTATTTTCTTCCAGCTCATACTATACACTTGGCCTCTACAAAGAGCTTTAAGTTTCAGTAATACACTTAACTGAATTCTCACTGGCACAAAGTGTTCTTTGCAGCACAGAGTACAAGCTCTTCCTGGCACAATAAATCTGAATATCTTTTCTCCTCTAAGTACATTACATACCTGAAAAATTCAGATTCTTTGAAGTGTTTTAAAAGTGTCTACATAGTGTGTGTTACACACAGACTCTAAAAGAAATGTACAGAGAATTCATAAGTTAGACATGTGGTGGGTTGACAAATTTACATAGGTATACACTTTTGATTTTGTGTTGTTCATTTTTAAAGACTATAGGTGAGCAGTGTTGCGTGTTTTGTTTTATATACCTATGTCTGTGGAATAGCCTTTTTTTGTACACAGTGCCAGGCCACAGTCCGTTGTTGGTGGGGATTGATCTGCCGAGCTGGACTGTAGCTACCAACAGCTCTGCTTCTTTAAATTATGTGTCACCTTTTTGTCACCTTTCTTGCCACCTGATTGTTCCACACCGGTCGGCCAAATGGGTATAGAAGCGGACAGCCATTGTTGCAGCAAAATAGATGGTCGTTGCTTGTTGAGGAGCTTGTGAAATTGCATTTCAGTGGAGGCCAGGGTTTCTCAAGAAGCTGCTGTTGTACTCTGTTTTTTTTTTTTTTTCTCTTTCCTATAGTCCCTAAGCACAAAAGAGCCCAGCAAGGATTTTTTTCCAAATCTATAATAATTTTGTACAACAACAGCTTCAGGAAGAAAGAAAGTCGATTAACTGTGGTCTCTCACCATCAAGGCCTTCAGCTCAAGTGCCAGAGTCCCGGGTAAAAAAGCGACTTGACCTCAGGGGTGCTAGAATGCAGCATGTAAGACAGCTGGGGAGTCTTTGTGGAGCAAATTAAAATGTTGGTTGTGAATCGAGTCATTCTTTGCATTATAATTGTAAGAAAATCTGAGTGTTAATATACAGTATCACTGGACTGCATGTGTGTATTAATGTATTCAAGCAATTTTCTTTAAATATCTTTGAAAATGATTCAGGGTTGCTTTACAATTTTTTTTCTTTTTTTTTAACATAGCCAAATCATCATAAACATCCTTGTATTAAACATTAATTTTAACATTAATTAAAGCCCACCCTGTGCACATGAACTTGCACCAGTAAAGCCTTATCCACATATAATGTGCTTCATTGGTTGTGTCATTGCTGTGTGGTTGACAGCTTGCTATAGTCGACATTCCTAAGTTTTGGATGTGAAGGTAACCTTGTTGCATGTTTCCAGAAACATTCTAAATGGAGGACTTTGACCTGATGTCAGATTGCGATATCCTTCCCTCTCATAGGTTGTTGCTTCGGTCACTCTCCTCTAAAAGCGCCAGACCAGTTCACACAGTTTTAGTTGATATCCAGCCACTTTGCCCTGTGTGTACGCCCAACATTTTCTGCATTCCCAATAGGAGGCATGCAGTAAAGAACTGTACAGACTGCAGCATCACTACTACTGACCTGAATACAGTGCACAGTCGTGTCAGACAAATGTAGCTGCACAACTTATATATGTGCTCTGCCTTTGTTTCTTTTCCTATTGTAAGAAGTTTCATGTTCTCATATCTGCTGACACAGACACGGACCCCTAGGTAAGAGTCAGCACATCAAAGCTGCATTAAGTGGCTGACTCTGAATGTTGCTGGATCAGAAATAACATGGATTTATCTCTCATTTCCCTTTTATAATTTTTTTTCTCCAATTCTCAAAGGCCAAAACAGTTTTGTTTCCAAAAAGTTTATTGCTGTGTGGTGTTGGTCACACTCACATTAAATCCTTTTCTAAATAGGTTGCTGTCATGGTGGGAAATTTATCACATGTTTATATGAGGAATATTTACATATTGTTTGCACCAGGGCTGTTTGTCTCTGTTGTACTCAGAATTGCACTTCTAGCCTCCAGTTTTGAGACCGTGGCTTAAATCAGAGATATTCTGTAGTTGGATTACGGCACTTTTATTCACCTGATTTCCTCACCCTGGTTGTTAATTTTGTAAGCCATAATTCTTAGTTTACTGTCAGTTTAGCTTTGCCGAGTCAGTAGCCAGTAAGAGGCTTGTCCCCTGGTGGTGCTTTCATGGAGGTAATCAAGAGTGCTTCTGTCTTTATTCCCACCACCGCACATGAAAGTAGGCCAGATAGTGGGTAGTAAAATCTGTGTGCTTAAATGTGTGTGTGTCTGTAAGTAACATGGCACTGGGTTCTCTTGGCCTCAGATGGCAAGGAAACGGGCTTTTCATGCCCTGCAGTCACAACAAATTAGCAAATTAATAAGACATTTGGTGTTGCCTGGCCTTCCTCTTGACTGGCTGCTCTGCATGAAGTGAGCCGGCCTTGGCCCTCTGCACTGCTGCACTGTAAGTGAACGTGGATGACGCCCACTGGCCTTTGCATTTGACAGTCTCCCAGCCCAACTGTGAACTGCATTAAGAAGGCAGAGTAAAGGCCTTTTGAAAATAGACTTTTGCAGACTCCTGTGCTTTGTCTTGATGATATCAGTATAAATTTACATTAAGTTTCTCTTAGATATAAAAAAAAAGTCTTTGTGGTGCGCTGCTGCTAAAAATAAAGTTGAAAATATTAATTTTTAACAAAACTGGTTATGTTTTGTTTTGTGAGCTTGAATTTTAGTCTGATGTTAGCCTTGCTTCAGCTTGATAATGTCGAACATGTAAGGCAGTTCGTTGTTTTTTTCTCTTTCTCTTTTGCAAGTACTTTTAGTAATATTCCCTGCCAAAGTAAGCATGTTTCTTTGTATTTCCGTTGTGTGAAAAAGAGCAGGGAGTACAGGAGGTGTTGGTGTATATGCATGCATGTGGGTGAGCTCGAGCACCACGATGCTTTCCTCTGCCCTGGGGAAAGGCTCCACAGTGTCACTGCTGCCCATACTCGGTGGCTGAGCAAGGAGAGCCAGGTGGTGGTGCCGAGTGCAGCACAGTCAAGCGTGGATGCAGCTCATGCTGACATTTGCCTGCACTGACTGCTGCGGGGAGAGGAAAAATCTGCTTTTCCATATGCTTGTGCTCGTCGCAACCCTTCCCTCCACGCTCTACTCCCCCACACTGCCCTCTTCTGCCCATCGCTCCCCCACACCCTCCTCCGCCTCCAGTCTCAGCCAGATGGCTCCCTGAACATTGTTTACCTTGGGTGACGGTCCCAGATGCAGTGTGTGTCCATCGGCATCCCCATTCCATCCATTTCATTCCCTCATTCCTCTGCTTCTCTCTTAGCTCAAGTGCAGGTCTCGGCTCTCGCACTCAAGTTGCACTTTGTTGATTTTTGTGTCTCTCAAATACCACAACAAGTAGACATGCTCATTTACACACTCTTACTCCCACTCAACTATCTCTTCTGCTCAATTGTCCATACTTGCGTAAATGTCTCTTTTCACACCTTCTCAGTCTCACACCAAAACTCCAAAAATACACCGATTTTTTTTTTCCCTTCGATCAGGCCATGGCCTTTCCTCATCCCCACTTGTTTTCCATGCATTGTATGTGATGACATATGGGAGCTCCCTTATGGCTGCATATTGAAATTGAAAATAGGCCTCCAGATGTTGCCAGCACAGAGAGCCAGATGCATTTAGCACCACTGGGTGGAGCGTCTCAGCAGCATGTTGTCCCGACAAGCTGAACCTCGCCCCTGCCTTCTTGATCCCAAATCTAGAGGACAAGCTTAAATACGCTTGCTTCATTTCTCATCAGCGCTAAATATTTTCTGTTAAAGCAATATAATTTAAGGCAGCAGCATTGGTGCAGGCAAGAAAATACAACGGAAAAAAAAAACTATGCACTGTGCATTGTGACAGAGTTGTTGTGGTATTTCTTCTCAAATCTATGTAAAAGAAAAGCTGACCTTTTTTTTTTTAGACACTGTTTAGTGGAATTTGATTTAGTATAAAATGCAAATTTTTAAGGCCACAAATAAAAGTCCAAGGCTCACATTCCACCGACTGTGACCAGGACGGTCGTTTTAATGCCCTTGGCCTTGGGGAGGGAAAGCTTGCTTGGTAGCGGCCAAGAGTGGGCTTACCTATTGCTGTATGTTGAATAGCTTTTTCAGTAAACATGCACAAAGAGTGATTCTATAAATTCAATATGTGCAAATGCAGGGCCATTTTGTTTTGAGGAAGAGAAAGGCAAGAGCAAAGGTGCAGGTTCTTTTAAAGGTTTACTGTTGTATTGAATTTCTCGGTTTGGACATTAGCAGGTTCAGGCTAGTGACCTCGCTGCTAGCTTGCTCTCTTGACTCGCTTATATGTATAAAGTGTTCATGGACCAAACTCTCTTTGTGTTTCTCTGCAATTATTGGATTTCTCAACAGCCTTTGGACCTGAAAGTGCTTCCATCAGTCCCTGCAAGAATTTGCCATTTTGTAATGAAATGTCTTATTATCAGCTCAGAAGAGAGGTTATATTTTCTATGCAGTAGGAAACTCATTGAATTTTTTTTTTTTTTTACGTCAACTGTTGTAACTTCTGTTCAGCAATATTTTTTAAATACGATTAAAATGACATGAAAATCCTTTGACTCTGAATTTTTTTAATACTACAATAACAAACTATTAGATTTTTTTTTTTTTTTAAATCATGCTGGCGTATTCACAAATTCTTTACACTGAGGACTGACTACTGCTAAGAAGAATTCAGTTCTCAATGTTAATAGAATAGAATAGAATAATCCTTTAATTGTCCCACAAGGGGAAATTTGGTTGTAACAGCAGCCAAAAAGACATATACAAACAAACAGGACACAGGACACGGAACAGAAACATACACAATTGGATAATATGGATGCCATTCGGAGCGTATTGCAAATGGCATATTTCAATTGTCCTGTACTGCATCAAAGAATATATTTTAGCTTTTTACAAACCCAGCTTGAAAGATTGCTGCAGTCTTGGTCATAACAGGGATTGTCCGTGTTCACTTCTATCACTTGTGCCTTACTCTGACCACAGGGGGGGGGGGGGGATCATCTACAAGATGATCTGCCTCACTATAGCGTACTGGGCTAAAGACTTTGGCCACTATTTCTATATATACTACTAATTTTCTAGAAAATGGAAAATGGTTGTTGTGGTTTATTTAAATGGTAAATGGCCTGTATTTGTATAGCGCTTTACTTAGTCTCTATGGACCCCAAAGCACTTTACACTACATTCAATCATCCATCCATTCACACACACATTCACACACTGGTGATGGCAAGCTATATTGTAGCCACAGCTGCCCTGGGGCGCACTGACAGAGGCGAGGCTGCCGGACACTGGCGCCACCGGGCCCTCTGACCATTTAAACATATGCAAACATAAAGGAAAGTACAGGATACAAATCAAAAACTGGGTTTGTACAATTCTAACAAGTTCATGTGCTCATTATTTTTTAAGAAGCACTCCAACACAATCCTCTGAAATTTAGCATTAAACCATGGCAGAGCCTCCAGCGTGCTTTTAAGACGGCTGTAGACACTGTGGTAAATCTTTCCTGACCTCTGTAAATACTGAAAAGATTTTGACTAATAATTTCACATATTGATTCATCACTCCATCAGTACTGTTGCCACTGATCTTCAGTCCAGTTCTTGTATAAGCCTTTTCTCCCTGTTTCCGTTCCTTAAGAATGGCTAACTGCCAGCAACACTTCCAGTGAGACCATTTCTGATGAGGCTTTAGTGAACAGTAGAACTGAAGGGTCAGATGCATCATATTTCTTTTTGAGCTATGATGACTTCTTAGGTGCATCATACCTAGATATTTTATACCAAGTTTTCAGCTAATAGCTCTTTGGTAATCACCTTGCTGGTGCAAAAAGTTTATTATATACCTGTCAAAACTGTGATTCTGACATTATTCACACATTCTAGTGAAGAAAAGGAAACAAATTGTGTATTGCAACAGGCTGCTATTACAGTTATCTGTTATGTATGGATACAACACTGGTTCATCCTTAATTTAGGTGCATTTTTTTTTTCTTTTTAAGTGGATTAACAAAGAAATAAACAAAAACAAGAAAATATTCCTCTAAAAAATGAGTGAAAAAAGAGCTTCAGAAGAGTTTCAGAAAGCCTGGAGAACTATTGCTCAAGACCAGTTTAAAAGATTACAAGAAAGTCTGGTTGCTGGGAAGCAAAATATAAAGAAATGAACGGTGGCTCAATGCTTTTGCCCTTTACTGTTTAAGGCAGAAAAACAGATCCTGTTAATGAAAATCCCAAAGTACTAGGACTAAATAGACAAAAATATGATGAACATCAAGTTTCCAGATCATTAGAGAAATTAAAGAAAAGCTTTCTCCTGACAGACAAACAAATAAATCTTTCAAAATATTCATGAATTAATTTGACAAATGAAATGCACTCTGACTGAAATATCTTCTCATTCTTCACTGCAAATAGGTAATGTTAATTAAAGAGTAGTACATTTTTGAGTTGCTTGTGTGTCTCATTCCTGGCTTGGTTATTGTTTAGCATTTAAAATAGTCTATTTTCTTCTTTAATACCAAACAGAACACATTCATTGTTTCTCATTTCAGTATTCAGCTGTGTACAGTGATCGTTTTAGGGAGTTGATAATGGCTACATTGGTATTCTCATTACTGCTGGTTCACTGCGTAGACCTCTTCCTGTGCCTAAGGCTGCTAAATTAAAAAAGCCAATCTGTAGAGGATTATGGTGTGTTCCCACATCGGCGTTTGTTTCTGAACAACAGCTGCGTTTTACCTGAAGAAGCTGCAACTGTCACATATTTATGTTTTTTATTTATTCGTGATTTTTTACCATGATAAACTCCAAAAGTAAGATGTCATGTTAAGAACAATAAGTTAACTAGTGAAGAAGACTAGCATGTGTCAGTAACGTGTTATTGTTGACCCATCATGGTTTTAGCTATATTGCTAGCTGCTGGCACGCCATCAGCCCACACTGCTCCAGTACTAACTCTAGTCTGTCCCCAGCAAGCTGTATGCCACTGTTAGATTCTGACCATCTGTGTCTTACTTTCTGTGGAAGGTTAGTTTTCATTGGTGATCAGGAGTAACAGCTGGCTCTGGAGAGCCATCTCTCCAACCCCAGCCCCCACTCCTCCACCACTAACCAGCGGAAACTTCTACAGCTGTCATCTGCTTTCCCAAATGACCCAGCTCTCCTTCCAGCTGCCATCCCAATACCTTACTCCCAGTCCCAGTTTTGGTGCAAGGCAAAGTCTTTTTTTTTTTCTTTCTTTTTTTTGGCCAGTATTCCAGGACAATGGAAATTTGTTCAAGACCCCCACTTCACTTGGTGCATCTTGACTTCAGTCTTGTTATGAAAAATAATATTAAGGTTTAATTCAAAACCACGTGCACACTCTAATCCTGCCATTTAACTCTAACTTATAGCCTTTTACTGTACCTCTTTGTTTTATGTGTTCCAGCAGTATCACCCAAGATCATAAAACTCAGAGAAGAACCACCAGATTATGCTGACCCACCAAAAGGCAAGAGCTCAGTCAGCAGTGCTTTGGTCCCTGTTAAGGGAATCAATAACCTTGGTAACACCTGCTTCTTCAATGCTGTTATGCAGGTTGGTATTGCTATTCTGTTTCTGTTACTTGTCCTTGATGATTTTGTTTTTACTTGAATCTTACTCTTTTTATAATATTGGGTCAGAACTAAAGAACTGAGAAACTTTTGCCATTAACAGAACACTAAAATATTCAGAAGCATTGTTTTTGGCATACAGCTCCCAAGGAAAGTGACACCAGTGGCATCCTTTAAAAAGAAAGAAGCCATAGATAGTAAATGTGCATGAACTCTTGGACATCTGTGGAAGACAAGAGTGGTGGATGATCATAGTATCCTTTCTATGGTAAAGAAGAACTGCTTGAGAACATGCAGCCAGGTGAAGAACACTGTGAAGGAGGGAAAAAACACAGGGTGTTCACCACGAGTTGCAAACAAGTGATCTGTGGCCTGAAGCATACTATGATCTGAAAGACAGTAAAACTCGTATCAACTATATTGTCAGCTCGCTTTCAATAGTGTTGACTGGTTGGTGTTTGCAACTCAAAGATAAGTTAAAACATATTCTGAAAGCAATCCAGACACTTTTGAAGGTAATGAAGTGAACTACTGCAATGGCCAAGTCTATCACTTACTTGCAATACTGGAAAGCCAGAAAGACCTTCAAACAACTGGAGACCACTACAGCATAAAGGCCTGGAAAAGCATCACAAAGTATCAAGCTCCTCCTTTAGGGAGGTGCACGGATTCTAAACATCAGGGAGTCATTGCTTTCAAAGGATACTCAACGTATTTAAAATGGACATTTTATTTTAGACCTTACATTGGAGACCTTGAAAATGGATGACTCTGGACAAAAAATAGTTGTGATTCCTCTGTGGTTGATGTGATATTGGCATTCAAAGCCAAGATTATGTAATTTGAATCACTGTACAAATATTTCCAGACTTTACTGTACACAACTGGCACTCGGTTGGTGCAGAGCACGTTCACAGCACAGCACAGCTATAGAGCCCTCCTCAGTTTTTCCCTGGTCATGTCATGGTGACTGCAAACTGACATGCCTCTTCAACAATGAAGCTGTTTTTTTTCCGCCATTTTGTTAATCACCCTCAGGGTCTCCCTCGTTGATTGAAATTCGAGTGAGCGTGCTTTACATGCTTTTCCCTCCCTCTCCCTGTCTGTTTGTATTGTCTCCTTGAAAATTGCAATCTTTCTGGTGAAAACACATAATTGTCAGAGGATGAGCTGTGTCTGTGTTCACAATGCCAGCTCCATTGTGTGTTTTCCATAGCAACAGTCTTTATTGCCAGGATGTGACAAAACAAATATCTCTTGAAAAGGGAGGAAAAGATGCTTCTCTAACATGAAGGGACAATGACTGCTTCAAGCAATCTCCTCGCCAAGGATCTTCTCTGCATTTAATTCATACAGATCATAGATAATTTTGCCTTTTTCAGTGATAAACTCGACACAAGTTTCTAAATCATACTAAAATGGAGAAAACATTGTTGCGCAGCTATTTTAGTTGACTACATGATATTGCCACAAGCTAAGTGCAGAAACATTTTTATATCTCTAAAACATTATAGCTTTTCTTGTTTCTTTGCCTTATGAAAGAAAATCTTAGAATCTGTGGTTTTGATCAGTTGGAGCCACTTCTTTAATGTACAATATTCTCTAGTTAAAACCAGTTGATCTAATGCACCTGATAAATATTGTTCCCCAGTTGAAATCAGAGGCAGAGTGTCAGATATGGTGGGGGAAATCAACACAGCTTGGTATTGTGTTATTTTGTATGGATATAAAGACACCAAATATCAATATTTTATTAAATAAATTCTAATACTTAGAAAAAAAGAGGGCCCACCTCATTTACCTCATCTGAGATAATGTTAGCTAATTTAAATTAACCGAAAAACCATCCAACACTGGACACACTTGGTTTGACAAAGCTACCTTCAGTCACACAACTACAAAATAGGATCTTCAGTACATTTTTAAAAATTGCCCTTTTTTCACATTCTGCATCTTGTGGTGAGTAAATGGTTGCTTAGACCTTGAGAGTAGGGCTGGGCGATATGACCCAAAATTCATATCTCGATATTTTTTAGCTGGATGGCGATATAAGATATATATCTCGATATATTTTTTTAAAGCCATAAAGTAAGAACAAAAAGAGAGTTCTTAGTCAAAGCTGTGTCCCAGATGTCACACAGGCACTTTTATTAACATAGAGCAGATGTACATAAAATTTACTCAAAAATAAATTATGAGCATTTATTAAATAATAATGCTCCATAAATAAAAGAAAACAATGTTGTTTTTGTGCATAACAAAAAGCTCACAATTGTGCAGTCAAAATGTAAACTAATAGACGCTGAGCACAATAGCAAAGACAGATTTCACAGCTGCTCTGTTCCCAACTTGTACTGCGTGACTGACAGCCTGGAGTTTGAAATCCGCTTCGCAACCACGTCTCTTAACAGGTGCCATTTATAGTCCTTATACACAGTAGGGTAATATTACGTTGAAGCACAGTACGTATCACTCCGCGAGGCTCAGCCGTAATGCTCCGACAATCCATCAAGCGGTGCAGCTCCGTAGCTTACTAAAGTCGTACTAAAACATTTTTTGACAGATTGCTGAGCGCCGTGTTCCACATAAAATCGGTTCGCGGCCATCAAGCACAACCAGAATTCATACATAAGGCGCGCTGTCAACTTTTGAGAAAATGAAAGGATTTTAGTCCGTGCAGCCCCTCTGGGCTGCATGGCGTTAGCGTGGTTAGCTAGCTAACACGTTGACGCCGTCCAGCCCCACACACGGGGCGATGCGCAGTAACTCGTTAATGGAGATTTGCCGTGTCCATCTTGTCGCTTCCTGCAGGTGAAGCGATGGGGGACGAGGAGTTGTGTTCAGTGAAGGAGAGGCGAGGCCGAGTAACATTGCGTAAAGACGAAAGTGGACGAAAGAGAGGCAAACCTGCGGCTCCACAAGTATAATTATAACGTAACATAGACTATATCGATATAAAGGATATTGTCACATCTTATATCTCGTATAAAAATATATCGATATTTTTTAAAAACTCGATATATCGCCCAGCTCTACTTGAGAGTGTTAGATCCTCACAACAACTTTTGATTGCAAGAGGCAATGTTTCCGCAAACAGTTCCAGTCTGACTTGGACCGACTGCAATCCCTCTGAAAGATTGTCAAAAGTGTGAAAATAATTTCTGTTTAATTCATAAATACAGACAGATTGTCTGCATGTTGCCATCAGTCTGAATGAGTCTTTGTCACTGAGGACAACTCCATAGGATTCAACTGGCTGCCAAATGGTTGTATACTGGTTATATAAAGCAGGAATGTTGCTAAGTCCAAATGTAATGGTTAAATGTGAATTTCACATGTGAGTTTTAATGAGTTATCACAGTTAATTGCTGTACTGTCATAAATGATTGCAAGTAATTGCCAACTTGACCCAAATTTAAATTGCAGACTGATAGCAGACTTACTGGCAACATTTATGGCAGGTTTTAGTGACAGTGTTGGTGTGCTTGACCATTATTTACAACAAAACCATAACATGAATGAAACAGATACTGACAAAGTCTAACTTTGAGGACATAATTTGCAGTTGGGGAAAGGTGACAAATCACAATAGATGTTATTGCAGTACTCAGTATATTGCAAAATGTTAAACTGCATTAATATTGTATAAGCGAGTCCCACCTTTAGAAAACGATGACCCCGCTTAACAGTCTTAACATGATTCTGTTTTCCTCACAGAACCTGTCCCAGACACACATGCTCATTGACCTTATCCAAGAGGTGAAGGAGAAGGGGTACAAATTGAGGATCTGCCCCCCTCCAGAGACAAATCTGGTATAGCTTATTATTCTCATTAATAAAGGAGAATTATGCATATTTTAATATGCATAATTACAGAAATTTTTGAATGCTGTTAGAACTTAGCAGTAGTTAAAATTGAAGTATTTTCATGTTTTCTGTATTTCTGGCCTTATTTCATAAACAAGATACTAATTACTTCAAATAAGAACAACATGTTTTACTTTCATGTGTTCTTCCTATTCCAGAGTCCACTAACAGTAGTGCTGCCCAGTCCAGAACCCTTGACTGCCGCCATGTTTGCCTTCCTCCACAACATGAAGGATCCAGGGAAAGGCTGTGTCAATCCCAAAATCCTCTTCAACCAACTCTGCCAAAAGTAAGGCACAACCTTTCATATCACCTGCTACTTCCTGTGAACCCAGAGCCTCTGCTTTATGTGTCCCCTCATCTGTGGGGAACATGAGAAGTAATGTAAGCTAGTGAAGCTGGAGCAGAGGCTATGTTGATTTGAATATTTTCATTCTGAAGCAAGCAGAGTTGGCAAAAGCAAAGGCATTCTGTACTTAAGTAGAAGTACAAATACTACTGGTAACAAATACTCCAGTAAAAGTTGAAGTACTGATACAACTTCTATACTCAAGTAAAAAAGCACAGGCTCAGAAATGCACTTAAAGTAAGAAACTTCTGTGGAGGATGCTTCTATTTTTATGCAAGGCTAACTGAACCTTGTGCTATATTAACGTAATGATAACATAATCTCAGTAGATTGAAATCACTTTCGTCTAACTTTTTTCATTCTAATGATACTCATCTTGAATCAGAAGACAAAGAAGGAAAATAAAAAATGTGTATCTATTTTCTGTTGCCTACACTGTAGAGGGTCCTGCAGAGTATGTGGCAGTCTGAAGTCTAATCACTACCATCTATTCTGGTCCTGCCCAAAAATTAGGGTTAGGCAAGATATCCACAAATGTTTGAAAAAGATTTTCTGCACACAAATCCCCTTTGATTTCTTATATATGTACTTAGGCCTCCCAAATATAACTAATCCAGCAGATAAATATCTACTGAGAATTATGTTAATGTCAGCTAAGAAAACCCTGACAAGAAAATGGCTCCAAGCATTGGAAGGAATACAAGAACTGCACCATACTGTCTACCAAATATTTATAATGGTGAGGCTCACTATGTCTTTGCAGCTTTAAAGAGAGAAATTCAACAAACCCTGGTTTAAGTGGACCCAGTATATTAAAGAGATAAGAAGTAATTTTGTCTAAATAGCTTACCTTACCTAGTAAAACAACTATGAGGTGGAAAATGCCATCAAGACTGGGCCAGCTGTTTCCACCGGTCCTACTGTTCGGTTTGTTGGTTTCTTTCTTGTTTTTTGTGTGTGTGTGTGTGTGTTTTGTTTTGTTTGTGGTTTTTTTGGTTTTCTTTTCTTTTTTTTGCCTACAATTAAAATCACAACCAGATATTTATTTAAAAAAAAACATTTTACATAAAAAACATCTGGAAAATTCAATCGGGACATACCACTTCCATCTTGCTACAACTTTGAGGAGTTGAAATTGTTTGTCATATGTTTGTCTCCAATGTTTAGCAAAATTGCGTATGGACAAATACTATACATATAAATGCCAGGTTTCTTATTTTCAGGAATGTTATAACGCTCCTAATGTAAATACTTTGTGCAAGATAATCAATAAAAACTTACAAATATTTAAAAAATGTAGGGAGTAAAAGCAAAAAGTAGGCAGAAAAAAAAAACAACTTTCATATATCTGAAAATAGTACGTAAGCACAGTAAAAAAGTATCTGTACTTTGAGTACACAGATTTTATTGACAAACCTTTCAGACATTTTGAACTCTGGTTGTGTAATTGCGGACCTAAAATCACCAATCATCATACACCAGCTTCAGACTCCTGCCAATGTTTGGTTTCAGGGTCAGTGAAGTCTCTGCTGAATGCCTTTCACACACACTAACCTTGACGTACACGGAACATGCACTCAAATCACTGTACCGCTGTAGCTAGCCATTTGTAGTTCTCCTGCTTCTCTCCACATGGCTGTGCCACCTGTGTCGCATTTGATCCAAGGTCTGACAGACTGTGTGACAGGCAGACCTTGCTCTTACATGAAAAGTGTGGGTGTCTGGTTGGCTGACTTATTGGTTGAGCTTGGTACCCTGCTGGTTGGGTCCACCGTGTTTGTGTGTATGGAGGGGGCTGGGGCCTCACACTGTTTAGTAGTGCAGGTGGATGACCAGAGCATTTGACGTTGGATGACTGGATCGTTCTCTGGTGCGGCTTTTACAGTTATTCTGGTACCTAGCTTTTATCAGACAGACCTCTGTGGGTGTTTGTGTAGTGTGTGTTTGTGGGATGCCACCTCACCTGGCACCACCTCGCCCTGCAACGCATGCAGGCAATTGTGCATTCAGACAGCAAGCACTGCACACTCTTATGCACTCATACATGTCTAATTTCAAGTAGAACTAATCTATTCCACTAAAATACATTTGAATAGACAGATTTGACTTTAAGCTTCACCACACTTTATGCTACTCTTTGTTTAAACTGTATCAAATGATTAATCTATTCATTTTTCCATACAGCTTTATTGTAGTACAGTAAAATGACAGATTTAATACATTGTTTTTATGCTTCAAATGACAAAGAGGTGGGAAACAGGGGATATGTTATTTTATTTTATTGCTCAATTACAGCGTTCATGTTTATTCCCAATGACAATAATATTTGATGCACTTTATTATCAATGTTTTGTTTTTATAACTTTTTTTTTTTTTTTAGGTAAATTCAACTCACATAATCTAATACAGCGGTCTCCAACCTTTTTTGCGCCATGGACCGGTTTATGCCCGACAATATTTTCACGGACCGGCCTTTAAGGTGTCGCGGATAAATACAACAAAATAAAACTAGTACCGGTACCGAAAAAAAGAAGATTTATTCATAACACGCGTGAAAAGACCCAGGAAAACAGAGTTAACGATCAAAACGATAACAAAATAACGCTGAAAACCGATAAAAACCCTGAAAACCATACATTGCACACCTGAGCCTCAACTCTCGCAGCCCAGTACCAAACGACTCACGGACCGGTACCGGTCCGAGGCCCGGGGGTCGGGGACCGCTGATCTAATGGATAGAGATATAAGCATTCAAGTTATTGTATGTTGTAGCCTTTTACAGGTATGAAGTTTATGTAGACTTTTTGCATCCCATGGTGTAGTGGTTAACACATTCACTTGGCAGGTGAAAAGTTGCTGGTTTGCTCCAGCCAGAGACATAAATCCCCTTCATGGTTGCGTCAAACCAAACGTGCAGAGCTATTCGTTTTGGTGAACCCCTTGTTTATGGCAAGGAAGCAGGGATGACTGTTTTTGGTATCGCCATCTTGATGTCTTGAAGCCAAATTATCCAATTCAAAAAGTGAGGAACACTGAAGTAACGCATTCATCACACATCGCTTTGAAGCTGACGGACGGTTGTTTGTGGATAGCCAGGTTCCAGTGGTCTGGGCGAGCCTCTAATGTATGTACTATCACCTGGAATTGAGAGAAATTTTTCTTGGGTGTCGCCCACTTCCCATCGCCAGCAGTTATTTTGCTTGTAGTCACTTGTCTCTGGTCACAATTGCTGCAGATTCCTTTCAGGCTGTATGTAGTGTTCAATATATATTTATTTTTAATGAGGGGTTTTGTTTTGTCTGGGTTGGTTTTTTTTTGGGGGGGGGGTTGTTTTGGGTTTTGTTTTTGTTTTTTGTTTGTTGTTTTTTTGTTAGTGTTGTGATTGGCAACTTAACTTTTTTTAAATTTACTTATACGCCACAGAACATGCATGATTCTGAGCCTGATGATAGCCTGCGCTATCACCTGTTTTTAGACGACTCCTCACAGCAGCCTATCTACATTTACTCAGGCCTAAAGCCTTTGATCTGAAAGGCCAAGGCCAAGAACTGCTCTTGTTTACTGGGACATTTTTCTTTCTGTTGCAGCGACCTTTACAGTACCTGTACTCTGAAAATGTCCTGCCATCCTCTGCAAGTTCTTCTCACTCAAAGAGGATTGGGTCTGCCCTTGGCCTGTGAGGGCTAACAGCGCTTTTATCATTTCTTTATCAGTCTTTCCCTGTATGTTTGTGTTAGCACACTGCATAATGGGGCCTTCAGTCTGTGATCAGCACAGTTTAAATGGTTTTTTTCTACTTAGCAGGGGTTAATGATTATAGCCATGGCTGATCCAGTGTTTTACAGTATTCCCACGCAGAGCAGACTCTGATTTAGGCTTTACTCTCGGTAAAGGGAAGTAAATCTGCAGGCTGGAGCTGTTGTGCTTTGAAAATAAGGTAGAAGTTGGAATAAACAGCACTAATCTTCTGAATTATAATGACAAACACAGTCTGTTTCCGACACCTTGAAACAGCCATATGAGTCAACCTACTCTACTCAGCTCATCCTGAAGTCGAGCCCATTTTTGTGTTAAATGTGCGTGTGTTCACATGGATTTGACCTTAACCAGCTGAGTACCCCACAGCTTGCTTCCTCATCCTCCTGCCAACAGCACGGGGTCTGGTCTGTGCTCAGACCAGTGCCAAGCAGTGTGTGTCGGACGGCCAGCACCACACTCTGTATCTGGTGCCAGTGAGGGTCCCAGCTTGTACCCAGTGTACTACAAAGCCAGTCAGTGGCACAACCGGGAAAAAAAAAATTACAGACACAACTGTTTGTCTGTTTTCCTTTTTGGACCTGGACTTGAAATGTCTTAAGTATTAAAAATGACAATTTTTTGAGAATTTTCATCATTAATGTCCATCACTTTATCTGGATGCATTCGCTACACATGTGTAATGCACAATCTGGAGGAAAAAAGGCCACACAGAGGACATTCATCAACACCTGCTTCTTTCAAGGACTGATTCCATTTTCAGGACAGCCACTGGACACTCTTGTGGTGCAAAAAAATGAAAAGTATGCTGGCTCTCTTCTCTGTCCGTGTACTGTGTCCACATACTCACATCTTTCAAAAATTGTTCATAAATAAGCCTTGTGAGAAGCCTTTCATCCCTGATAGAAATAGCACATGACAACAATGGATCCCATCTAGTGCTGGCATCCAGGTCACTTGCACATACAGCACACACCACATTAAAAGAAGAGAGACAGATTCAGAGTTGGTATAAAAATAAGAATAATAATTTTGACATGTGCACATATTCAAAGCTGGCATTGAAACTTTACATCCTTTCCCTCAGCTCTGCTGCTCTCTATCTGGTTTGTGAACACAGGACACCTTCGAATAATGATGTTGAGAGCTTCATGATCAAAACCAGAAAAATATGAATTAAAAGTACAAAGCCAATCTTTGATGGCGGTTCAGTGATTTTTTTTTCTTTGTATTTTTTCCCTGTTGCACTAGAATTTTTGTGCGTTTTTATGGAATATTTCAATAGGCATAAAATCTTTTTATATTACAGTTTCAAACATTGTGCCATTTCTCATTGACGAATCAACCTTTAAATACGTTACTGTGTCATGATATATGAGTTTTCTTTCTCTTATACAGCACTAGTATGTCAGCATCAGTGAGGGTGCAGACCAATCCATGTAGTCAGAATGAATGTTTTTGGGGGGTTTGTCTCTCAATTTCCCATTAGTGAAGTCAGTAGTTAAACTAACAATGTTCTCAGAGTGACAACAAATGTTTATTATTTTTAATTTGAAATTATTCATAGTGTTTAAATGCTGCAGTGAATGCAAACAATAATAATAAACGTGTGTGTGTGTGTGTGTGTGTGTGTGTGTGTGTGTGTGTGTGTGTGTGTGTGTGTGTGTGTGTGTGTGTGTGTGTGTGTGTGTGTTCGACTTGGGGGGAGCTTGTGTGGCCTTGTGTCTGGTACTAACTCATCCGGCTATTAATTGTGTTAGCACCGCAGCTGTTTGTATTGGCCAGATTGAGAGCAGGGCTACAGGGCCCTTCTGCTTTGTCTCCACTGGGATGAACTTCCAGACCTCCTCATTCCCACTGATACCAACCATGTGCATTCATTTTTTTTTCTTTTTCACTGCCTCTCTCTTTCCCCCCCTTTTTTTTTCTGTCTCACGCATTCTCCTCTCTGTTTTGTCTTCATATTTCTCTCTTTTCGTTGATCAACAAATTCAGTTGGCAAAGCTAGATGGAGGCATTCCTTTACTTGCTGCTCTTCCTGGAGGCTCGCCAGTAAATAACATATGTTCTCTGTACCATCTTCACCCCTGCACGTTGCCTTCTGTTTGCACAAAAAGAGGCATGAAAGACAGAGATTAGGATAAGATGCGAGTATGTGGGGCAACTTTGATCTCCTCCAGATTTACAGGTTCTGACCTGTGTTGAAGAGAGGTGCTTGGCCATTTCTCTCCTGGACATCCATTTGTTCATGGCAATGTGTCAAGGGTGTAAAAAGCTGTTTTGGTCTGAGTGATCTTCCCACATAAGTAGGATTAGGAATGTCATTAGGAGAATGTATTGGTCAGAATTTATATTTGACACACTGCATTCCTTTTTAATAATTATAATAGGATTAACTGCTTTCATCAGACAGGAACAGGTGTGCAGCATTCCTATTCAGAACATTTTGGCAAACAAAGAAACTTAACATACAAAGATCATAGCATAGCAAAAGCTCCACAATGGCTTGAAAGGAGTTAACCCACTACTACGCACTGCCCACCTCTGACCACCCTCAATGTTGTCTAATCAGGAATGTGGCCTCTCAGTATGTGTTATCCCTGTTGAACCAACCTGTCCTTTGGTTATGTGGTTGCCTCGGCCCAACAGGTTGCAGTAGCTCCAACCTTGGCTACCCATCTGCCCCTGGCATCTGTCCTCACATCTGCTTCACCGTGGACAGCCAGGGGTCGGAGCCAAGGAGAGCCTCCCCTCTAACCACTCTAATGGTGTCCATTCGCTTTACCAAGAAGATTTGTGCACAGCAGAAAGTCTGTTTTGTGGAAGTATCCAACATAGAGGAGTGGTGACTTGCCTATGAACCTCTTCTTATATTGCTTAGAGAGCTTCATTGTATTTATTTTTTACTTTTTTATGGATGGAAGAATGGTATTTAATAAGACTTATTTAAATCTTTTTTTTTTCATCCAGTATAATTTTTTTTTTTTTATAATAAAGTATAATGAATTTATAATTTATTGAAGTTCAGTGTAATAAGCAACTGCTTTCACAAAAAGAAGATGTTTAATTTTATCTGAGGGGGACCTGCTTTCACACAGTTCATTTGCTAGTAGCAAATAGGTGTTCATCCTGGTAATGGGGTTACTCAGATGGAGCTAGAGCTCATCTGGTGGTCTGTTCACAATTCACATTCACTAAAATTGCTCCTCCTCCTACAGTTTTGGTCAGAATATAATCAAACATGTGATCACTGTGTGTGAGTTCACCCAACCTGTGCTCAAGCTCAAGGTTGTTTTTGTGGTTTTATGAGCACCCAATTATGATGTACTGAACAATATTCTATTCAGGCCATTTAGTGAAGTTGTTAACCTAAGATCCTGGATATGACTGTTTGCAAGCGTCCTCGACTTCTCGGTGGATTTTAATTCTCATTATATTGCTAACATGACTGTATGAAGAAAATATTCTGTCCACCAAAATAACTTTAACAAATTGTTTGTTGGTCCTTTAAGTGTATAAGTTTTATACTGCGTCCACCTGGATTGTGAAAGGAGGCGTTATAGTGGCAGATAGGATTTCACAGATCCAGCAGTGAAAACTCTTGAGAGACCTTGATGCACGGTTTCTTCTTTTTGCGTGTTTTGCCATGGATTCTAATTGCTTTGTGTTCAGTGGTTTTCTTCTAGACTCGATAACGTGTTCAGTTTTTGTGCACAAACAACAGACTCTTTTGAGTCAGATTCACTCCCACGTTTGATGTTGTCACTGTTTTCACAAACATCCATCCTTCAGTTAGTCTTAACTTTGTTTTCTGGGTGTTTTTTTTTGTTTTTTTTTGTTGTTTGTTTATTTTGTTTTTGGGTTTTTTGTTGTGTTTTTTTTTTTTCTAAAAAAAATATATGTTTCTGTTTTTCTCCAGAGCTCCATGCTTCAAGGGCTACCAACAACAAGACAGCCAGGAGCTTCTGCACTACTTACTGGACTCCATACGAGTAGAAGAAACTAAAGTACGCCTTCATACATAATAGGCTTTCATGTATTTCAATAATCCATACGATTTTTCTAAGCCCAGAATAAGAATTGGGCGATGTTTTGTTAGATTATGTTCTTCAATCAAGCACAAAGTGTTTGTGGTTTATTTTTGTCGTCTTCATTCAGGTGCATTTAGAACATTTTGTATGAGATAAATTTGCAGAAAATATGAACAACATGAATACATATTAAGGTTATAGCAAACATTAAGGCAATAGATTTATGTGTTTTAGTTTCAATGTGCTTAGGTATAGTTTTCTGCTGACTAGGAAATATGTGATACAAAAACAAGATTTAATTTCCGTCTAGATTCCTTCAGCCTCCTCTGTTTCGAGATTATCTGCTGTTTTTAGCTCACTTTGTGGAAGTCCCTTTCTGTCCTCTTACATTTATGCTTTGCAATGGGTGTTGAATCACCTGCAGTATGTCCAAAAATTGACCTTTTAACCTAAATTTAAATTCTGGGGAAGTGAGAATTTTGTTCTTTTTGCCACACAAAACTTGTGTGTGCTGGATCAAAGTTGCTGGCACTGCAGTTCAAGTTTTCACCAAACTCTTGTCTTAAAAACATCAAAGTCTTACAAAGGGAGCTCTGTCTTGACAGTCTGAGCCTGCTGGATGAATTTATGGTACACCCTTTTAATGTCTGGAAAAAACCTAACATAAGCTTGCTTCTGGTCATGCTGCTGCTGCCTTCAGTCTTGGATGCTGCAGACTCTTTCAGTGAAGAGTGCTGTTTGGTCTCTGGGTCATGGCCACAGACTCAGCTCTTATTGCCAGTGAGAAAAAACATCGGGTCAGTTAGACACAGAAGTTGATATTTACTTGTGGAAATTATCAGAATAGGACTTCCATGACTGAAAACGAACAGCTAAAGTTGGTGATCAGGGAGTCGACCTTGAAGGGGAAAGTAGACAAATTTAATGGATTTTATCTATTGACTTATTTTTTGTATGAGCAGAGTGACAAACATGATCACACCTCATGTCAACATATAAATATCCAAACCTAAATTGGATGGATAACACAAAGTACAACCTCACAGAGGTGCTTGATTTTTAAAGTTTGCTCAAACACTCAGCTCGATTGCTTAAAAAAAAAATGCACATTAGTAACTTGGTGATGATAGTTCAATCTCACATGCTAATAATTAAGTTAAAAAATGCATCGGAATAATTCAGATGGTTGATTTTTAGCTCCAGCGGTATTACAACTGTGTTTATTTCAAAAGCCATGAGGAGCTAATCATTGTCTTACTTGTTGTTAGTCCTATCAACTGCTCCACATATGCATTGTGCTGTAATTCAGTAAAGATCTTAAAACTTATCCTAGATGGCTATCACCATAAGACATTCATCTGTGTTTTTGTGGGTGGCTTTGTTCGCTCACATAAACCCATGTCATCTTTAGCCAGCAGTTGTGGTCAAAGCTTATGGTGCCATGTTTTTGGCAAGTACAGAGAACCCCTGCCCCCACAACCCTTCATGGGGCAATTAGGAGACCCCACAACAGCCCATTGGAGGGCTTAGCTGGCCCCTGTGATCCCACCAGTGGCTGTGTGAAACCAAGGAGGAGAAGTTAGCGGGTGTGTTTAGTGGTCAGCCCCGGGCCCACGAAAGGGCCACGGGCTCGGCTCCCCTGTTCCCATTCAAACTTGTGAACAGTAACAGTTGTGCCACTTAGGGGACTTGCAAGTGGCATAACCGGCATCATTGTGTGATCTTGGGAAACCCACAGCTGCTGAATGAGCTCCAGGGCCGTCCCATTGTGCTTGAGGGTCGCCCACAGCCTCCTCCCAAACACACATGCACACACACTCATCAGCCCGTCTCCCAATCCAATCAAGGAGGTAAAGAGGGAGGGGGGGTATGGCCTCCGCTATTCATTGACTCAGAAACTCATTTATGCAGCACATTCAGAGATTCAGTGGCATTTTAATCCTACATTAGCGAATGCCTTTTTTAAAACTCATAAGTCATACCAGTTGCTAATCTTTCTTGTAAAAATCAAAGCATTATTATTATCCCGTGTTCTCAAACAGAAAAACAGGATGCACACATCAATTCATGAAACGTTGATTCATTCATAACTGGAATAAACCCATTTGCTTCTTATTTGTATGAACACACAAATTGAATATTAGTGATAGTACATCCACATCATTGTGTGTGTGTGTGTGTGTGTGTGTGTGTGTGTGTGTGTGTGTATAAGAGAGCGGGAGAGCCACGATATTGTGTTCCTCTGTGTGTAGCCAACCTTTTAGAGGCCCTAAGTGTTTGTGTTTAATGGCCATTAGTATCAGAGATCTGAATATGCTAATTTAGACCCAGTCAATTATCACCAATTAGCTGAGATGGGAGGTATTACCCTCCCAGGGCATGGACTGTCCTTCTTTGCCCTGTCTTCATTTTAGTTTCCACCCCTGCACACTTGTACCAACTCTCTTCACGCCCCCCGACCAGATTCCCCTCCCTTTGGCCCATCCTGTGTGAGACAGTGCATGCTGTTACTTTTGGGGGAGAGAGATAGAGAGCATGGGGGTTACTGGTAATTAATTAGTAGGAGAGCCACATCCTGGTTTGACCACGCTCCCTGAATGAGGTGCAGACTGGCCGGGCTGGGATTAACAGGGTTTTTTGACCTAAATAGCCAGTGCAGTGTGTGGGTCCCGGGACAATGGGGGCCGACTGGTCTCGACTCAGACATGGACCATGGCCAATTATCTATTGATTGGTGCTTTACTGTGGCTGTGCCTCTTCACAGCTCTCTCACAACACACTCACTGACCATGTCACCTCCAATAAGACAACGACACACACACGAACATGCACATTTAATTAAGTGATTTACATGATAACATTTTTGGACAAGCACAATAATTATTTTACACTAATGATGCTTATAATGGGTATACCTGTCAGGCTCAGCTGCAGGCGAGATTGTGATATGTCAATAATGGATGTAATAAAGAGAATTCAAGAAATATCCCCCCAAAAATGCATTTTATTTGCATCATTTATATAATTAATTTGATTTATGAATATTACCTCAAATGTGACTTCTAGTATTTTTCTGGTTTTGTTATATGCAGAGGGTGAAAGCAGGCATTTTAAAGGCGTTCAACAATCCTACAGAGAAGACAGCAGACGAGGAGACCAAACGCCAAGTCAAAGGTTCGTATGGAGGCGGCACACGGCAGAGATCAATAGTTCCATCTTGTGGCATTTGGAGGAAATGCAGTTAATTTACTCCTGAAGCAGAGGACAGTTTCATGAAGAGAAGAATAAACATCCTCATGTTTTAGCGCACCCTTCCAGTTGTGTATCCAAAATTGATTGTGTATAATCAGTTATTTATACAGCAGCTAATAAATTTAAATAGTTAATTATGATCTGTGTCACTTGTTTTTTATTGACCCATGTTCTTCCTTTGTCTCAGCAGTGAAAGTAGTCCTTTATTTGCACTTTTTGATCTCATTAATTCTCAATAGTGATTGTAAATTGTGATGCTTAATAGTGTTTAAAATGGAAATTATAGTGTTGAAAATTTTGAAGGTAATCTTGTAACAGCAATAATCACAATTTTCATGCATAAATAATAAAAGAAAACCTTTTGTCTTTTTCTCCATCAGCATACGGGAAAGAAGGTGTGAAGATGAACTTTGTCGACCGCATCTTTGTCGGCGAGCTCACAAACACAATCATGTGTGAAGAGTGCGAGCACGTAAGCGAGTGAAATAAAGCAAAGGACCTGAATAGTCGGGAAGAACCAATCAGGCACTGCTCTGTAGGGTTTTTTCCCCTCTGTAGAATTAGAACGTATGAAGCACATGAGGGTTGACAAGCTGGCATTTCTTAAACCAACCAGCTCTGACACGAGTCGCTTTTTAATAGCCGTGTAACCTAGTTAGGACTCATTGTGAGACATTTCATGCCTTAATTATTTGATTTTTTTTTGCTTTGAATGATTGTCACAGGAGCAGCACTGGTATTTTTCAGTTAGTCAGAAATTGGCAGACATTTATCTCTAACCAGAAATGAAAAGACAACAAAACTAAGCAACAAGATTTCTTTACCAGCTGTGACGTCCAGGAAACATTCCAGAATTAATCAGAGGTAACAAATGGAAGTCAGTGGAAAAACAAACATAAATCATTTCAAGGACCAGCTCGAATACCAACTGTTTACAGCAGGCATTTACAGTAAATTGTGGAAGCTTAGAGTGGTTAACAAAGCACATGCCTCTATGCAAACTAAAGAGTATCATTGAAGATGGAGAGCAGCAGGTGTGGAGCTAAGAAAGAGGAGAGGAAATGAAAGCATTTTCAGTCATCTTCTCTTAGACTGCAGCAGAACTATGATTTTAACTGTTGAAGAGATTAAAAGTTTATATCATGACACTGACTTGCAGTTATTTATCTTTCAGATATCCACAGTAAAGGAAGCCTTCATTGACATCTCTTTGCCCATTATAGAGGAGAGGGTGAGCTGCTGTAAATTACATTCATTGTGGATCATTTAAAGGATACAAATTAACTCTCTGAGACAGTTTGAGCTGGTAGTTATCTCACAGATTGCTGGGTTAGTGGTGCATTTCTCTGTTTTATGTTTTGTTTTGTTTTTTACTGGCCAACCCCATCTGCTGAAATCAGTTCAAAGTCCTTGTTGAAACTTTTTCTTTGCACCTTCATGTTTTTGTTGTGCTCAGATATCAAAACCTTCCAACCCTGGTAGGCTGGGGAAGGGCACCCGGGAGCAGGAGAGCCACACAGCTCACAGTGAGCAGGTTCCTTCTGCAACACACTCTGTCAACAGAAATACCAGGAAGCTGAGTGGACAGGTGAGACTGTTGTACAGGTCTATTCTGCTCCTTTTCTTGAGCATCATTATTATTATTATTATTATTATTACCGCTGCCAAGAAGGTTATGTTTTTGGTAGTGTTTGTGTGCATGTTGTTCTGTCTAGAAATGCAATCGTATGGACAGTTTTGAATGAATTCCCCTAAAACTTTTTCTGGGTGTAGATATGTGTTAGCAATCCATTGAAATTTGACCATGAATGGCAACCACCAAGATCTGCAAGACCAACTTATTATCTGAAAATTAACAAAAAGCCTTAGAACTTAGGAACTATGATTCTTACAAGTATGGTGTGTATTGTCAACATATAGAAAGTACTATAAAAATATTACAATTTATTGACCTCAGGGTCAAAGTGATTAATAATGCTATTTAAAGAGCTAGAGCTATTTAATACATTTTGAGTATAGTTGATTTTCTTCTGACTTTATATGCATTACAGTAACAGTTATAACAATTCAAATACACGGCATTAATTGTTTTGGGGTTTTTGTTTGTTTGTTTTTTTAGGAAAAGAAAATAATAACGTTTTTTTTCTTCTAACTAAAGATTGAAACAATGTCCACATAAATAAAGAAAACTAAAGAATAATTGTACTCATCATCGAGTACATTATAATGGGGTTCACCAGGATAAATAACAAAACCAAACTACAAACTTCTCAAAGTACCTTTAAAAAGAACAAAGGAAACAAACTGAATATATAGAAAATGCAATGCTGTTCTCTGAAAAGTAAATACTGCCCAGAGAGTGAGCTGCCTTGGCAGAGGTTTTCTCTCTCAGAGTGCTTCTGGTTGTCCTTGTTATGATCTTGGTCTTTTCTCTTTCCTTTATATGAAAACTGCTGTAGGTATTTGGTTTCTCTGACATTGGTTTCTGTTTTTCTAATGCATGATTATGCATTAGATGGACTGTTGTGGTTTTTAGTTTTGGTGAGAGTTCCTTTAGAAAGACTCTTAGAATGCTTGTGTACAGATATGAGAATTGTATTTTATTTTTTTTAATGAATGAGAATTTAAAATAAAAATGCAGTATCCTGTGTGCATCCAGTCTTCAGTGTGCATGATAATGATAATGTACTTGTTCTCCCTTTCCACAGAAGCAACAGAGCAGGAGGTCTTCCAGCTCTGTGGAGGAGAAAGGAGCAGGCTTTAGTGGGGACCGACCAGAGGACGAAGGTGTTGCAGGTGGATCAAGCCACTGTGTCTCAGTTTGTAAGATGGCGGCTGCCGGCAGCCTGTCGGACGGCAGCGAGAGAGACTCGGGCGCTCAAGACAGCAGCAATGACGCCGACAGCGAGGCCTCTGAGAGCGAGTGGACGCCACGTTCCTCCAACCAGAGCCACAGGCACATGTCTACCCCATCATCCACCTCCACCCTCACTCCGTCCCCTACGCCTGTCTCCGCCTCATCTCCTTCTTCATCGTCTTCCACAAGGCAAGGCGGCGCTGTGGAACAGCTAGTTAGCGCCGTCTCTAAAGTCAACCTGAGCTTCAGCTCTGGGGACTGCTCTCCATCTGCACACTGTTCTCCAGAGGAGCACGGAGAAACACAGAGCCGAGACAATCTCCACCATCAGCACCACCAGGGGGCCTTCCAGGCTCTGTCCCACAGTTACACACCCAGTTCCAAGGAGTGCTCCATCCAGTCCTGCCTCCACCAGTTCACCTCTGTGGAGCTGTTGATGGGCAACAACAGGCTGCTCTGTGAGAGCTGCACTGAACGTAGGATGAAGCAGCTGCGCAAGAGCAGCTCAGCAGGTAAAAGAAAACAAGCATCTGGAAGCAGAGTACAATGCTTTGAGGATGAGGAACCAGCATTTTCTTTACAAGCATATTTTAAATTATTTCCAGATTATTGTACATTTGAATCCCAGACCACAGGTTGTCTGTATGCTACACGCAAAATCTTCCATCGGAGTATTCTTCACATTCTTTACAGTTGGTTGTGTGGAGTTGGTATTTTTGTCGTTGTGGGTGGGAAAGAATAAAAACATACACAGAAAATTGTCTGTCCAATCCTGTAGCGGTCCACTTCTTTGTAGTGTGAGTCATAACATACACAGAGCTGAAATCTCAGGCCTTGGATCTGGGGACTCACTCTCATGAGCTGCTGCATGTCTTCACATATCAGGCTGCTGCTCTAAAACGACCGCTCAAGTTTGAACAGACGTCCAGGAATCCATACTGCCCATACTGAGTGGCTGATATTATTTTGGCTTGCTTCTGTGTTTGTCTAAATTACTCAAGTAGTTAATAGTTGTAGCTGACATTACTGTGTTTTTGTGTTTGCATAGATAAGAAAGTGGAGAAGGTTTACACCAGCGCTAGGAAGCAGATGCTCATATCCTCACTGCCTCCTGTCATCACATTGCACCTGAAACGCTTCCACCAGGTAGGCAGCCATAACTCTGTTTTCTTCAGCAAAATCATCAGTAAGTTTGAGAGCCTAATTGTTGATTGGTGTGTGTACGTGTGTGATTTTGTTGGTTTTTTTCTCTCCTTTAAGGCAGGGATGAACCTCCGTAAGGTGAACCGCCATGTTGACTTTCCTCTGATCCTGGATCTGGCTCCTTTCTGCTCTGCGTCCTGCAAGGTTTTACAGTTTAAATTTTCTGAAAACTTTCCTGCACCTTCAGATTTTTTCTGTGACTACATCACTTTGTTGGTTCAGCTTGTAATGAAAGTCCTTGGTTGGTGGTAGTTTTTTTTTTTTTTAAGTTTAGTTTTACTTTTTGCTAATCTTTCTTTCTTTTTTTTCCCACTAGAACCTGGCAGTCGGTGAGCGTGTCCTCTACAGCCTGTACGGGATTGTCGAACACAGTGGCTCAATGCGTGGAGGCCACTACACTGCATATGTAAAAGTGCGCGCTCCACAGAGGAAAACAGAACAACAGCACAAGAACCTGTCAGGTCAGGGGCCAGCTCTCCTGAGCTCTTTCAAGACCTTCTATCTGTTATTTTCTTTCTGTGTTTTTGTAAGCTTAGTCAGTGTTTTGGCGATAAAACCCTGACTCCCCTGTAACCTCAAAGATGTCCTCCACAAAGAGCAGGTTGAATGGAAGTTTTTTGTGTTCTTTGGAGCCATGTTTTTCCTCTTTCCCTCTTTCATTTTCTTTTTATATCGTGTCCAGGTTTGCAGAAAAGCTGAAAAATAGCTGAAAACCTCAAGGAAGAAGTTTTCCTTGCTGCTTCCAAAATAATGTTAAGAAATTATGTCTTACAATAGGAGCTTTTAGTTGGCGATGACACACAGGTCTCACATCTCTACAATGAATGCTGACAGACTGGTGAATCGAGCAATTTCTTATCTTAAGGCCTTGTGACATCTCTATTAAATGAAAGTTTGTCTTCCTCAACATTTCTTCTTCCTGCTATAGCTGCTCAATGTAAAAGTATTAAAGTAACTTACTACAATAATTTCATTTTAACTCAGCTAAGCTTGAAAGTATTATTTTGTATATATAATCATGCTTTGCTTTTTTTCATGTGAGAGTAGTTGGTAAAAAAATTTATCTTATTGCCAACATGTCTGCAGGTCCTTTTTAAAAATGTGTTTTAATTAAAGACTTTAAAAAGTATTCAGGTTTTTTTAATTTATGCAGTCTTGTTGCTATAACACGCAGGTAATAGCAGTGAGTTAGCCTGTTGTAATCTGTGACCTTGTTATTTGAGGCTTTCTGTCTGTTTACTTGATGGCCCTGGTCTTACCACTTAGTTACCATAAATCGAGTGTTGTCAGCTCTCAGAACAGAGTTTAAAATGCCCCTTGTGACATTTTGAGGGTTATATAAAGTTTCATCCATTGTAACATATAGAAAATAAGAAGAGCACAATGAGTCCACTTTGAGCTAGTTTCAGCACTCCTTACTGGCTAGCATTATTTTAGCTTTGTTGCTATGGAAGCATGAAGTGACAGCTTGTCCCAATATTTACTCCCAGTAACCCAGTATCTCCTTGTATTTCCACCCCCCGACTCCAGGAGGAGCCTTTATGCCTCACGATGTTGACACTGTGGGTTTTGTTTTTGTTTTTTCCCAGGTGCCAGGGACACCTGCAGCAGCTCCCAGGGCCAGTGGGTGTATGTCAGCGATACCACAGTTCAGATGGTACCAGAGTCAAGGGTACTCAACTCTCAGGCATATCTGCTCTTCTATGAGGAAATCCTCTAACATGACAGAAGAAAGTATTTATCTCTAGAAAACCTCCTTTTGCTTTGTGTTGTTTTTGCAGAAGCCTGTAAACTCCTCTTACTGTATCTTTGGGTGTTTTGGAGGCAAGAAAAGGGAAGGATTTCACTGTATACACCTTTGTATTACTTAAATTGGCACCTTTAAATATTGTAGATGTATAAAGGATAAAAGGATTTTATTTTGTGGCTTAGAGATTTTCATTCATGTTCTGTTTTTTATTATTATTAATATCATCATTACTATGAAAAGCCTGCTCTTTAAAAAGAGGCTAGGTGAAAACCAGAGTGTTATTGAACCTGAGCTGTAACCCAAATGTTACGGTCTGTCTCAGCCACAGTCACGTGCCTGAGATGTAAAATGCATGATAGTTTACAACTATAACTAACTGGAAGTGGCAGAATTTTACTGCATGCTAACCTGTACCCGGTGCCTATGAGTTGGTGTCGGTTGCGTGTATTTGTGTGGGTGAGTGAGCGAGAGACCAGTGAATGTAGTTTGAAGGTGCTGTGTACCATTTTCACATCAGTAAATGATCGCCAGCTTAAATCAGACTTGGCAGTCTGGTTGTGTTATGAATGTAAATGCTCCACACAAAATATTTGAATTGTGAGGCAATGGCTTCAGTGAGAGCGTGATCATTAGTGACAGTAAAGACGAATATAGACGAGGAGGAGCCGAGAAGCAGCATTCTGTGGAGTTCACTGGAATCTGTGTTTGTACATTTGAGACACCCAGTCTGAAAAATCAGCCTTGGCTCTGTTGACGCAGGATACACACTGGCTTAACATACTGACTGAAGTTGCCACACAGCACCTTTAAAGAAGTAGCACAACATTATTCTACTTCGGCCTTTTTCAAAAGGATTGTTTTCTTAAAATCAGAATGTATAAATGTCTGACTATCAGTGAATTGAATTTGCCAAAGACAAGTTTGTTTGGTTTTTTATTTCTGCGGCAAGTTTGAGCTGAGTTTCTTTAACATACTCTCCCTCAAGGTCATCGGTGTAGTTCTCCCCCCCCGCAGGCAGGCGCACTTGATGTTTATCGCATCACGCATCACTTCTTCTGCCTTCATTGTATTTCAGCTCCACCCGAACACACGAAAGTGTCAGACAGTCAGCACCACAACAGACTTGCTCTTCATTCTCTAATGCCATGAATAAGCTTGAGCATAAAAGAAGAAAAAAATGAGAGAAACATGTTAGAAAACAGTTTAAAGGCTTAAAAAAAGGCTAATAAGAAAAACCTCTTTCTGTAATGTGCATGGGTTGATGTTCTAATGAATGTATTGCCTATTCTTCAAATGTCCATGACAAATGACCTGTTTTTTGTTTTTCTATGAAAATATTTTAGATTCAACTACTTTTATTTCTCCTGCTTTGCCAAACGATTAGACAGAAAAGAGTTCAACGTATGCATCCGAGTTTATGAATTATGTTCGACTGCGACAGAAAAAATACAAAATCTGTGCCTCTCTTCACGGTTAAGAAACCCGTGGATGGTGAGAAGACAACTTGCAATCATATAAAGAGGGATATGCGTGGGTTATTTATGTACAGTATTGCTTACTGTAAGCAAAAACAGTACTGAGTGTATGTAATTGTACATATAGGACAATACAAAACTCATGGTGCTCCAGGCGTGCAGGGTTTCCTTCCTCAAGACAAATTCTTGCTCCCAGAAAAATATTTAAATTTGCTTATGGAATGAACATAAAACATAATGTATAAAAATAAACCTAATTTATGAACAGTATATTCAACGATATTCTTTTTTTTTCTTTAAGCTTCTCTTGTGCAACAGCTCTAGTAGTAGAAAAGAAATCACAATAGATTTAATGTTTTCTGCTGCTAAATTGGTGTCATGCTGGGTTTTGTTTTTTGGGTTGTTGTTTTTTTTTTTTTTTTACTGCAAGCAAGATGTCGTCGACAGTCTCCCTCTTCCTATCTCGGCTGTCACTGCGGATCCCGCCGTGCCACATTCAGCCAGTCTTCGCCCGTTATCGGCCGTGACGGGTGCAAAGCAGCACTGCTTCAGAACATGTCGGGAGCTGGTGAAAAGGAGGTGGGTGTGGAATCAGGAAAAAGGGCAACGTCCAAAGACATTCGCCCCGCGCGTTCTCTCACTCCCACACGCTGTGACATCCCGGCTGTGTGGCTGGAACATAGAACATGTTGTCAAACCGCCACCAAACAAGACGAGTAAATCTTTTCTGAAGTGCGTTTGTCTATTTTTAAAGGGGGGCTTTTGGCTGGAGGACATGCTGCTGAGGCATTTGATGTGATTTAATCTTGTGTAATGAAAAGCGCCCTCCCTCTGCATGAGACAGTTTTAAGAAACTAATAAGGTGCTGCTGTGGAGCTCGTCTACCAGCAGTGAAGGTTAAATTTTTACTGCTCTCACTGTCAGCCTGGCCCAGCTGCACACCACGCTGCACATGCACTCGCTAATGTATAACACGCTCAACACGTTTTCACATGGAAGCATTCACACACTTGGACTGCACACGCCTCAGGCTTTGTTCTTCACAGGGAAAATGCACCAACACTATACCAACAGAGTACACGATGGTATTAAATCACACCTGCACACGACCTCTTCAAACACACGACATGTTCTCATAAAGTGCTTCAGTTCTGTTTTAGGAAAAATAGTGGGCTCCATCCAGTCTGTTTAATGCTGGAATCCTGCTGATTATGGCTTAATTTATACATGCCAATAAATAAGTCTTAAATTATGCAGTTTGAACCTCCAGAATGACACTAGCACCTGTTTATGCTCAGCAAATGGCTCGATTCCCAAATGGACACAGCAGGTGAAATAAGTATTGAAAGCATCACAGATTTTAGGTAAAAGGAAAAAACATTTCTAAAGGTGCTATTGACATGAAAGTCTTACCAGATGTTGGTAACAATTCACACAGGGAAAAAGTTTTGAATGCAAAGAAAGGTACAGAAAAACCAGAATCAGCAAGTGTTTCAAAGGGGGGGGTTTAGCAAGATGATGATCCCAAACACCATCAGGGAAACGCAAATGGTTTCAGAGAAAGAAAATAGTGCTGCTAAAATGACGCAGCCAATCACCTGACCTGAATCCAACTGAAAGAACGAAACCTCTTGTGTGTGCTCCAATTGTGGGAATTTTGGAAAAACTGTGGTGCATTTGATGGCACCATAACATCACATCAACAAGGTCATGGGTTTGAATCTCCTGTGTGGAGTCTGCATGCTCTCCATTTAATGCCTGGGTTCTTGCCAGGTGCTCCAACTTCCTCCCACAGTCCAAAGACATGATTGGGGTTAACTGGTGATTCTAACTTGGCTGTAGGTGTGAGCTTGAATGGCTGTCTGTGCAGCTGGGATAGGTTCCAGCCCAACTGTGACCTTGAAATGGTTAAGCAGGTGAAAATGAATGGAAGAATTTTCAGAATATAAATATGTCTGAGTTATTTATTTTTAATGTGAACACCAACATTGCTTCATTCTTCTGTTACTCAATATCATAAACCTTAAACTGGTGCTGTTTGCTATTAAACCTATGATATTCCCCATGATACTGATGCTAAAAGTTAGTTATTAATAAAGCTTTGTGAAACAAAAGCTCTGCCACTTGGTTTGGGTGTAAGATTGATTTGCTTGCCATTTGTAACAGCGTTTTACAGCTGTGCGAATTTCATGTGGGTATCTCCTGTACTTAAGAAAGTAATGAAGGTGAAAAATACTCAAAAAGAGAACACAAATTAGGAAGAACCAAATTTCGACCCAGCATCTTGAACAATAATAAAATATTAAAATGTGACATGCACAATCTGTGGCTGCATACAAATCAAGTGTTTGACAATGAAGTGTTTCATTTTAAATGTGTTATTGGGGGGAAAAAAATTCAAGCTAAGAAGCCTTTGATGTTAAATGGCTGTGGCTGCTTTTTGTGCAAAATATTCATTCATTACAAATGAATTATTTTCTGCATTTTTTTTAAACTAGTTAAAATGATAATAATAACTGATGATCTATACTTTGGAAACTATTTAAATAAAAATGTGCAAGAAACATCTTCAGTTCTAGTCTTTGTCAGATTACCTCTAAGCCTCATGAGCTGCTACACAGACATAACCTCCACAGGAATGAAGCATACAGGACTGATATTAGGCTAACCTGCTTACAGCCTTATACTGTTTTCCAGCCGTTTTGGTGCTGAGGCACGTGATCCAACCAGATCGCCAAAGTCACCATAATGATTGTAAATAATAGAGATGATCTGATATGTTTGAGTGTTGGGCTTCATGTTATCAAAATGAATACGGAAGCGCGATGGTCGTTCAGATATGTTGGGTTATTTAGTAATAAAAACAGGTATGCTGATGTACATGGTACAAGGAGAAAAAGACACATGAACACATCCATCACTATGAAGTAACTACTTACACTATCTATAACAACTGCTGATATCTAAACCATCCTTAATCTGTTAGTTGTGCTCTTCCCACCTTTCTTTTGAAAGAAAATTAACTACTGACGTCCCACGGTTTGCTTTCTTTCAATTTCCTTTATTATTTTACTTTAGGCTGTTTCATTTTTTTCTATTCTAATTTTGGAAGTTCGCTCACTCAGCTGAGTTTTATCAGGGAGCTTGATGATAACAAGAAGAAGAAGAACTGCAGAGAAACGAGCAGTCGAAAACAAAAAATAGACGTTTCATTACAGGCTTAGAAGGGTCCCTACAAACAGGAAGGCCCTGGGTAGATTTGTTGTTTCAAATCCAAATGGCTGTGGTTCTGAATGCACATTGCGGTACATGCTCTATACCCTCTATGAGGGCGTACGTTGAAAGGCATTTCGGCATTCCAGTTACATGAAAACTACGCAAGCTATAAATGGGTGCTAAAATCACACTGACATCACCATCTGAAGCCTTTGGCGTGCTGCCTTCACTTGCTGCTCGTACAGAAAAGTTTCAAGTGGAAAGACTTTTTTTTCCTTCCGTTTCATTTTCAGTTTAATCCCATTTATTCAAGGTTTGACAACAAAACTATTATTTGAGGTTAGGAAATGCACCCGTCATAGCTACAAAATTTTAAAATTAATTAAATGTATTTAATAGCTCAAATTAGAACAACAAATTCAACTTTTTTGACATAGGACAAATGAATGTCCAGTTCACAAGCACTGTATTGCACATACAGTCAGAGACTAGATTGAGTATCTCTTCGACCTTTCAAATAATCTTCCAGCAAACTTATACTAACCATGGATACTGAATGATTTGTAACTTTCCTATTTAGTTTGAAGGCAGCAGTTCTTCTTTCGTACTTCCTCCGAGCAGCTCGCCTGTACAGCCATTTTGATTTGCGACCGCATCGCCGAAACGAACCCGTCAGGCAAAGGTGGGAATTCTGTAAACTCAAAGCACAGCTTCAGTGTAAATTTCAGCCACTCTTCTTTCCCATTATGGCCTAATTTAAATGAGTGAACCTTTGCTTGGTTGTTGAGAAAAATGTGGTGCTAACTGCTGGTTTTCAGACACAGCCTAGCCTAGCTAATATTAGCTCACGTTAGCATGGCTAAGCTTTCATAGCTAAAAAAAAAATTAATTAAAAAAAACAAAAAAGAAACAATGCACAATTCCCGAATTAATTTCAGTATCCTATGTAAGTAACGACACAATGTCTCACATTAGGTAGCATCCTAACGTTAAGAGGGAAGTGTCTCCCAACGTACAGCTAGCCGGTCAGTTTGAAGTAGCGTTAGCACTTTATTGCAGCTTGCAATTTCCATTGCCATTTGGCAAGTGTAATTCTACACTGACACACCTCTCCATGTTGAGAGTGCACAATACAATTAAATGTAGCTGATCTGGGTGTTTCAGGTGTAAATCGTGAAAGGAGCAATGTGGGACCAGGGAGGACAGCCCTGGCCGCAATGGCCTCTTAGCCAGCAGCAGTGGATGCAATCTTTTCAGCATCAGCATGATCCAGGTTAGTGAGTGATGCTCATGCACCACAAATGGCATTTTTGCTCCCTCAATAAAAAAAAATCTAAATATTTTACAATGGATTCAAAAACTGCACTGGCAACTAGTCTTAATGCACTTTTTTCCAGGTCAAGTGGACTGGGCAGCCCTGGCGCAAGCATGGATAGCCCAAAAAGAGTCTACAGGAGGAGAGCAGCAGAACATCCAGCCCAATGGTCAGGACATCCCAGGCCTCGAATCTGTTGGACAGAATAATCACAGCAACTTTCAGGGTGACCCAGCATTTGGCAGAATGTGGCAACCAGGTACACAATTAAGCCTTTGAGCCATGGCTCTCCCCCTGGGAAAAAAAAACAAAAAACTGTGGAGATTTCTCTTGTGGCTTGTTTAAGTATTTTGTGTTTAACAGAATGGGGAATGCATGGCCAGCCCCCTCCTCCTCCACCCCCTGACCAGGCCTGGATCCCTCCAGGGTCAGGACCAATGGATGTGGTGAACCCCAGCGAGGACAGCAACAGCCAGGACAGCGTGGAATTCAACTCTGAAGCCCACCATGGGGTTTACCCCCAGAACAGCCATGGGTATGGGGCACAGCCCGACAGCTACGCCATGGCCCCCATGGCCATGAACCAGTTTGATTATCAGGTATGCAGATGCTACGGTAGAAACTGTTGAAGCGTTTTGGTTTTAGTGTGACAGCCAAGTAGCACGAGAAGGAGCAATCCATAGACACTCTGCCGGGTCCGAGCATCTAGGCGTATCAGTCGTTTGCTTTCTTGATGCTG